CATTCATTACAGGGAGCACAGACCAGTAAGCCACGGTCCATTCATTAGAGGGAGCACGGACCAGTAAGCCACGGTCCATTTACTATAGGGAATATGGACTAGTAAGCCAAGGTTCACTGTAAGCCACGGTCCATTCATTAGAGGGAGCACAGACCAGTAAGCCATGGTCCCTTTACTACAGGGAATATGGACTAGTAAGCCAAGGTCCACTGTAAGCCACAGTCCATTCATTATAGGGAGCACCCACCAGTAAGCCACGGTCCATTCATCATATGGAGTACAGTGCAGTAAGCCACAGTCCATTCATTATAAGGAGTATGGACCAGTAAGCCACAGTCTGTTCATCGTATGGAACCTGGTGCAGCAGTCACAGCAGATAAGCCAGACCTATTTCTACCAACGATGGTCCCCACAAGTATGAACAAAGCAGATTGCAGAATGGCATTGGGATGAATTTTCAGACCTCACAGCTTTGGTGTGTGTTGCTCCTTGGTGTATGTGCAGTAAAATAGCAAAGCAGGGACTAGAAGGACACCTGTCAAGTTGATGACTGAAGCCAACCTGGGTGGAGGAGGGGTGTGGCCTGAGGGGAATAGGACTAAGACCCAAGCCCATATCTGTTGTGTACGCGGCTTCCTGGTCCCGGGAAGTCTTGCTGAGTGCCAGCATCGTGAACGTGTCAGATTCCTGAAGGGAAGGAGAAGCCAGGGAAGGGGCTTGGCCCAGGCAATGGGGAGCAGATGATGGAACCTGGACCACCCAGAGGGGAGAGTGTATCTAGAGACCTCAGTTCCTCATCATCCCAGATCCTCAGGTTGAGCTGGCTCTTTGGGGGAGAGGATAGAGGAAAGCTTCTGTCTTGGGGGTGCCCCAGAAGCAGAGCCTGTGATGAAAGCGAGGGAGCTGGGTTTTCCAGTCTTTGGTCAGGAGCCGCTCAGGGAGTGGGAGAGGGTGACTTAGATTTGCAGGCACCATGACCCCTGGCCATGCAGACATTTGGGACCCGGAGAGCCATCAGAGGCAGACAAATAGGGAGGGAGGCACCCATGCGGCTGCCCCTTCCACACAGCGGGCACCAAAGGGAGAGCTTCTAACATACAACAAACACCGCAGAGCCCACTGTGAGTGAGGCTGTATTCCAGAGGCAGGGGATGCCAGGGTGTGGGAAAAGTCACTGGGGCATTCCATTTAGCATGAGACATTCTAGGCAGCAAGACAGCTAACAAGGCCCGAGGCAAGAGTGGCTGAGCAGAGGGCGGGAGGGGGAGGGAAGAAGACCATGAGGTCAGAAGGTGGCCAGGGCCAGATGTGCAGGCTTAGCAGGTCATTCTGAGGACTCCAGCTCTGGCTGGATGAGAAGGGAGCCCCGGAGGGTGTTGGGCAGAGTGGGATAAGGTCTGCCTTACACTCTTTTTGTTTTGAGACGGTTTCCCTCGATATGTGGACTGGAGTACAATGGTGTGACCTTGGCTCACTGCAGCCTCCCCCGCCCGGGTTCAAGCTATTCTTTTGCCTCAGCCTCCTGAATAGCGGGGATTACAGGTGCCCATCACCATGCCTGGCTAATTTTTGTTTTGTTTTGTTTGAGATGGAGTTTCGCTCTCGTTACCCAGGCTGGAGTGCAATGGCGCGATCTCGGCTCACCGCAACCTCCGCCTCCTGGGTTCAAGCAATTCCCTTGCCTCTGCCTCCCGAGTAGCTGGGACTACAGGCATGCGCCACCATGCCCAGCTAATTTTTGTATTTTTAGTAGAGATGGGGTTTCACCATATTGACCAGGATGGTCTCTATCTCTTGACCTCGTGATCCACCCGCCTTGGCCTCCCAAAGTGCTGGGATTATAGGCGTGAGCCACTGCACCCAGCTAATTTTTGTATTTTTAATAGAGATGAGGATCACCATGTTAGCCAGGCTGGTCTTGAACTCCTGGCCTCAGGTGACCTGCCCACCTCGGCCTCCCAAAGTGCTGGGATTACAAGTGTGAGCCATCATGCCTGGCCTGCATTCTAAAAGTATCATGTTGGTGACTTGGTCCGGGGTAGAGGTGGGGGTGGTGACAAATGGTCAACTCTTGGGCACTCTCAGAAGGCAGAGCCGCAGGACCTTCGATGGGCTGGATGGAGGAGGCAGAGAGGAGCCAGGGACTGCAAGGTGTGGTCCTGATGGAAGGCTGGAGCTGTCACTAACCAGGAGGGAGGAGGTGGAAGGGCAGGTCCAGGACAAGGCCAGGACTTCAGCTGTGAGTGGGCTGCACTGTGCTAACGAGGTTTTCCAACCAAACATTCTCACCACCATGGAACCTTTTTTTATTTTTCTTGCTCTGTCACCAGGCTGCAGTACAGTGGCACAATCTCGGCCCACTGCAGCCTTCACCTCTTATGTAACTTTTAAAAGCCCTGTGTCTATAGGGACTTGGAAGTAGCACACCCTGCAGGTTTATATAGTGTCTGACATTCTAGAGACTGTCAATTACAGGAAGCAAATTCCTCTTGCCTCTGGTCTCCTCCTGGAGAGGGCTTGTGTTAGTCTGTTTTCATACTGCTAATAAAGACGTATCAGAGACTCGGTAATTTATAAAGGTGAGAGGTTTAATGGACTCACAGTTCCACATGGCTGAGAAGGCCTCATCATCACTGCAGAGGCAAATGAGAGGCAAAGTCACATCTTACATGGTGGCAGGCAAGAGATAGAGCCCTTGCTGGGGAACTCCGATTTATAAAACCATCAGATCTCGAGACCTATTCACCATCACCAGAACAATATGGGGAACCACCCCCAGGATTCAAGTATCTCCACCTGGCCTGGCTCTTGACATGTGGGGATTATTACAATTCAAGGTGAGATTTGCAAACCATATCAGGGCTGAAGTCACACTTGTCCAGCTTGCAAATCTATTTCTTGTTTTCACAAAGCTGAGCCTTCCAGATGAGGAAGCCAGAGAAATTGCCCCGAGGATGTCACTGCCTTCCCCTGTTGGCCAGAACTAGACCAAAACTGCAGTACCTACAGGGCCTCTCACCTCAGGCCTGTTCTCAGTCTCCAGAGTGGCCTGGAAATTCCTGCTCTCACACTACGTCTCTAAACTGGCTCTGGAGTCAGTGAGCCTTGGTTGAAGTCCCCTATGCACTCTGTAACTGGCTGTGTAAGAGACACTAGCTCTTAACCTCACTATGCCTCAGCTTCCTCCTCTGAAAATGGGGACCATAATAGTACCTGACTCAGGTATTAGGAGGGAAAATGGTGCGACACAAGTGTTTAATAAATGTTAGATCTCATTATTTGTACCACTGTGTCATCATTCAGAGAGGGAAGGCATCCAAGTGGCCTGTGACTGGTACCAGCCGGTCAAGGGCAGGAGTGGCCTGGAGCCTCCCACCCTGGCTGACCTCAGCTGTGCCCAGACCTGCCCTGGGTGAGGGGCGCCAGAACGTTTCTCCCATTGGACAGACAAGGAAACTGAGGCCCACAGCCCTTGGGACTTGTTCAGGGTCCCAGGATGAATGTGCAGAGGAGGGGATGGGCGTGAGGAGTGTGGAGTACTTGGGGCCCTACAGCCCTGCCTTGGACCCAGCCCCAGCCTCCGGAGCTGTCTGAATACAGTGATGTGGTGTCCTCGTGCTTGGGAGGGCAGCTGGAGAGGCATGCGTGGGCCTGAGGCTGGTGTCCCTCTGCTCAGGTTCCATGGGGAAGCCCATGTCACAGTGGCCTGGAGCCTGGCTTTGGGCTTGACCTAGGCGTGGGTCCCAGCATCATCAGCTTTGAGCTGTATGGTCTTGGGCAAGTCAGTTCATCTCTTTGACCCAATTCTATGAACATTTCTTGAGTGCTTTCTACAAGTTTTCAAAAGATTGGAAAATTTTTCAGGAAATAAAACAGATTTTCCTCACTAGCAACAGAACTCAGGACCCAGTTCTCCAGGTGGTCAGGCGCTTTTGTGCATACCTCTCAGTCTATCATCTACAGAGTCAACAGGTTGTCCTAAAATGTTATCATATCTGAGGCCAGGCACAGTGGTTCACGCCTGT